CTTATTTTAAGAAAAAATGACTTATCCAGATTTAGATTTTTCCCAGTGCAGAACGCCAGTTAACATGGTTTAATTAGCTAATATGCTACCTGTAGCAACAATGGTTAGCTTACTAATTCAGGTGTTTTTATTCATCTTTCCTAACATTTTCTCTGAACTCTTTGTATAGCCCTGCTTTAGTTTCTCTTTCTAAACGCAGAACTTATGGCCTTCTCCGACCAGAACACCTTATCTGCTGTGTTTCTGATTGATGGTTTTGGTCTTTTTGTTCATATTCAGCTCAGATCCACATTTTCCATGGTGGTCTGAATGGATGAATTCTGATATTTTTACCTAAAAATGAAGATTTAAGTTTGGGGGTCTCCTTTCTCAGTTCTTAATGGTAAATAAGCAGAAGTTAGGTTGTTCAATAATGTGATAATCTTTCATGTTATGTTTCCTTGCTTAGGACGACATGATGGAAGACACACCCCTGTCCATGTACAACTACTAATAGGATGTTGGAGTCGGACCGGAGCGTTCTCGACCCTTCAGTCCAGTCCAGCTGTGGTCGTTGAACCAGATCTCCATAATAGGCACCAAACAGAAACCTCCCTGGGTAGGTTTAGGCACACGCCTGGGATGTTTCTACTCAACCAGATTATTCGGACATTCTGTGGGAAAGGACCTTATTTCAATTGAAGTGGACAATGATGACAAAAGTCCAGGAGGAAACCCTTCGGAAACTGTCTGTTTCAGTGTTTGATTTTAAACTAGGGAAAAGCCTCTTTTCACTGCTGTACATATAAAGTTTGAAGTTGTAAATATTGTTGTTGCTCTTTTAAATGGTTCACAGCGGATAAAGTAGAGGGAAGCAGCTTTTGGTTTGCATCAGTCAATGACGGTAAGATCCAGGCGGTAGAGACGACTCAACTGAAAAAGAAAGCCGGGAGGAAAGAAAGATTATTTTGTTAAGAAATTTTGCACTTTACTTTTCATACGTAAAAGATGGGAGACAATTAAGGGAATCAAGATTCTTTGAAAGTTGGAAATAATTTTACAAATAGATGGTCCACATCTTGTTAGTGCTTTTAAGTGTTAGTGCATCTAGTCAGTAAAGAACTGCAGGCACAGCAGGAAATGTTATTAACAGTGTTAAAGGTTGTTTTCCTCAGGCCTGTAGTCCAGCTATGAGTGCCTTACAACGGTAAATAAACAGAATTTATTCATTTTTCATTTTATTTGCTGGATGAACAAAGATTTACTTTTAGTGATTAGTATTTCAACACTCATTCAATGCAATAAGGTTTTGTTGGAGTTTACTTTGGTAGCCGGTGTTTGGTCAGACCAGCATACGCAGAGTCAAAACCTGCTCATCCCTTTAGTTTTCTGCAAAAAAACATATTTTAAACTACCTCAGCGGGCATGTGTCCCTTTGGTCATGTACAAAAAAACAATTTAATTACTTTCCCTTGGGTATTTTTTTAAGCGTATGGCGATCTGACCTTAAATTGTTTTTTGTACATGACTAAAGGAATACACGTTCGCTGAGGTAGTTTAAAGTGTATTTTTCATACAAAACTAAAGGGATAAATGCAAATTGACTTGCGCATGCATATTGTCTATGGGTATGCTGGTCTGATGGTGTATGCTGGTCTGCCAGAACACCGGCCTTTATTCAGTACAAATGGGGGAAAAAGGTTGGATAATGGCTTTTACATTAAATGTTAGCATTGTAAATAGCATGCATGCTAAAACTGACGTAGAGCAAAAAGTCTCAATTAAAATTTACAACAAATTTATATAAAAAGAAGAGATGATCACATAATTGGCATTCTTTTTAAATTCAGAGGTATTTTTTCCTCTTTTTTTATTTATGTTTTTTTACTTTGCGTTAGCCTCACCTTCTACTAAACATGCAGAACCAAAAGTTTTTAAAATGCATAAATGTTCTGGTTTTGCTTTCTGTTTGTATAACAGCTGTATTTTACATCATTATTCCTAAATTATTGTAGACATTACAGTCGTATAGTGAAACTTCACAGAAAGTAATTGAAGGCTCAGATTTTTCTGTGCTGTACTTGGTAGTGCAGTGCTGCTCCACCCCCACCTATTGCTGAACAGGGCCAGTCGGTTCTCTAAAAGAACGCTGAGATGAAAAAGAAACTTGGAGATATTTCTCCACACTGCAATCCCTTACAAAGGTTGAGCTTAGCTTTAATGTTAACAGACGCACGCTTTTTGGAATCCATTCATCACGTTCTTGTCAAACAGCAAATGCAGCATCACAAAAACCTCTTGTTTGAATGAAAATAATTTTAAAATGAAATTTTGTGAGGACTTGTAGGTCTGCACATAAAAAGGTAATGGATAACAGTGTGAAGATTTAACTTTCTGATTTAAATTAAAATACTTGGATGTTGTTAGAATTGGTTTTGAATTTAGGTGTGAAATATGAGACTGTTTTTGCTCCAAGTTAACTTTGTTAAAAAAGTCAAACTACTTCCTGTCTAGTGGAAATAGGGCTGGACAATTAATTGTATTTGCAATATAATCGCAATTTAGCAAACTGCGATTTTCAAATTGCAGACATGCTCAATTTAAGTCACATTGAAATGAACAAGAGTAGGACACGAATGTCTTTCTGCAGCTCTTTAGGAGGCAGAAATATGCTTAAAGCAGGTTTGTTGCCACACAGAAGGGACGGGGATTCCATGCATGAAGTAGAAGTAAGAACTTTTCATGCAACGGTTACAGAAAAGTCCTGCAACAATGGACTGTCAATGAGAAACGGAATCCCTGGAGTAAAACATCTACATCACAATAAAATCACAGTATTGGTTGAAAGTAATCACAATTTAGATTTTTGGCAAAATTGTTCAGCCGCAGTTTGAATTCAGTTGGTATCATGGTATCGTGGAATCACTGATTGGATTAAAATCAAATAAATGTTGACATTTACATGTCCCTGATGTTCCGGATACTTCTAACTTTATTTGAAAAATGTTACATCTTTCATGTTGGTTATGAAATCCACTGTTTGACTTTGCTGCGGTTCTTTAAAGCTCCCAGAAAATAATTCATCAATTATTTTCATTAGATTGCGTAAGCTTATTTAGGTTTTTATGCTCCATTTCTCTCAACATCACATCTGTTGAATGAATTGCTGACATTTGTAAATTATTGACCGCTATTTTACAAATAAAGGTGTTTTGAATTCCTCCTCAACGCTTCTTTCTCTTCCTTGTCAGATATCACATATAAACAACCTGTGATTTGAGCAGCACCAAGAAAAACAGTAAGAAAAAGTAAATTCATACATTCCAGAAAACAAAGGTTTAGCTGTTTTTCTCTAAAACAAGACTTTTAAATACATAATTTACATATTTCATAAAATATGTATAGATTTCCTCTGCAATAAAAGGGCAGATTAACATAAAATGGTTTTATTTATAGGCAGTCATTGAGCTTAACAAATATTTATTACTTTTTTAAGGATTGTTCTAAAATAAATAACTGACGGTGTTTACAGTTCTGATCAGATTTATCGGGTCCCTTGGTCAAGATGTTTAGGAGGCCTTAAAATAAAACCACCTTTTATAGTTGAAGGATCATTATATACAGAAAATAAAAAAAACATTGTTTTGCAATAATGTCAACGTTGGCACTTTATTTTATTACCAGTACACTTCTGCCTATAGGAGAGGCCTTATATGCCCGTCCTACATTTTACCAGAAGACCTTTCATTAATCCTTTTGCAACGTATCCATAGATCATCCAGAATCTTCAGCTCCACATCTTTTCTGTTTGATTTACATCTGGGGTCAAAGGTGGCGATGGATCCAGGGAGCGATATCTGCTCGTCTGTTCTATGATTTTGCTCATTACTTTTTGTGATGGTTTGTTTTAGTTAGTCGGAACCCATCAGTTCTTGGTTTGTTTTTGCTGTCCAATCATTTCCATAGATTGTATAATGTAGAAAGTTTTCCAGAGCCACTGGAAGAGAAGCAGGCTTAGACTGAAAGTCACAAATCAGGATGTTTTAGAAAATCAGACAAACTCAGAAATAATTGGCTTAAAGAAAAAGGAAAATTCAAACCGATTGTTTTGGAAACGGATATTGATGCAACTGGTGATCTGTGGGAAAAAATATGACTAAATGTTTTTATTAAATTTCATAATTGAAATAAATGTGCATACATCTTAGGCTGGATCATTGTAAACTTTGCTTTAAGTTAATGACTAAAATTTGAGCTGCTTTGATATTTGTTCCCTTCTTTAAACATCTTAGCCTTCTTTGTAAATCTTTAAGAGAAATGTTTAATTCTGTATTGTTCTTCTAAAAAGTCCTAAGAAATTATCATAGAGGAATTCCAGGAAGTGCTTGAACCTCAAACCCTGCAGCATATAGGAAAAAAAAAATTAAAAATCTCCCCGTCAGCAACAAAATATGGAAGTCATGAAGAAAAGTTTAACAGCCTGATGATCCATCCGGCCTGATTTACATCAGACATGACAACAAGGATAGATCGTCTGTCTTGTTTGGGAGCGCGGTGGAGGACTTGACTCCATAATGTCCATAATGGTTTTTGATTTCTCTCCGCCTCCATTTCTGACAGTTTAAAAGGAGCCAAAAAGCATCTCTCAGGATTCCTTCTCCACGAGGAGAAGAAGCCCATTAAACATCCATTACTCTGCCACACCGGGTCGTCCATGATTGCAAACTTTGAGTCTCTGATCAGCTGCTGCGTGAAGATGAATATTAACACATTACATGTGATGATTAGTGAATATTACTCTGAGTCTTTTCTATCGGGGCAATTAAAGACTTTAGCTTGGAGCCCTCTACAATCCTTTCTTTGAAATTTCCCTCCCATCTTACGACGGCGTATTAGGAAAAAAAAAAATTGGAATTTAAATTTTTGAGGTTAAAGTAGCATATTTACGAGAATAAACACGCAAATTTATGAGACGATAAACATGCAAATTTAGAAGGAAACAAGTAGCAAATGTATAGGAATAAAAAGGCAGATTTACATGAAAGAACATGCACATTTACGAGATATTAAAGATGCTAATTTAGAAGGAAAAAGTAGAAAATCTACAAGACTAAAATCTCAAATTTAAAAGAAAAAAACTTGCATATTTAAGATATTCTAAGCATGCAAATTTAGAAGAAAAATTTAGCAAATTTTAAAGATTACAAGCATCCAAATTTATGGTATCGTTAATTTTTACTTTATAAACTTCCATGAGGCCATTGCACCGTCTTATTCCATCGCTAAAGCTGCCCATTCATGATGTATTTGCATGTGCTTTATGTAGCACTTTATTCTGTAAATGTATTTTTAAATCTTGCAAATTTGCTGTTTTTCTCCTAAATTCATGTTTCTTTCTTATTTTGCTAATTTTTCTCTTATATTTGTCTATTTCAATTTTGTAAATTTGTGTTTTTTTACGCTCAGCTTGCATGTATATTCTTGTAAATATGCCACTGTAAACTCAAAAAATGTAAGTCCCATATTTTTTTTTTCCATCTTTGAATGGTCCTAATACACCATCGTTCCATCCCACTATGGATCCCACGGTTTCTTTCACCACATCAAAGCGCCACCTCTCCCCCCTCCCAACAGGCTATAATCAGAACTCTCCTTTAGTCATCTCTTGCCTAAAAATCAAACATTGAGGTTTAGCAATTAGCCTGTCGCTCTGTAAGAAGCTGTGATTTATAGTCCGCTCTGCCTGTGAGCTGAAGCCATGGCAGCTGTGACAACAGTTTAATTTGGGTGGCTTTCATTGCAACGTTTCATAGCTTGTAAAGAGAACCCCCCCGTATTCCTGGCTTTATCGCTAACCGTTTTAAAACAAGCGGATGGCCAGCTTGATCAAAGACATCTGCAAACAGCTGCCAGCCGCCTGCGTTTGTTCCCACAGCTCCATGTTCACTGGAACAAGTCCCAACACGACTTTAAACTGTTATTCATGAGGAATCGTTTGCTGAAGATCAGTTTATGTTCATGATCTAAAATAAAAAATAATCTTCCATTGTGAGCTCTGTCTTACCACTTCTGGCAACAAAAAAACAGATTTCTGAAAATAATATATTTTTCTTTTTTACAAAATTCAAAAGTTTACAAACAAAACATCCAAATGTTCCTTCCAGGATTCTTCTGTTAAGTTTTATCCCTTTTTTAATGGAACCTACTGCATAAAAGCATTTACTCATCACCATGCTGCCACCACCATGCTTGACTCTGTGGATATTGCAGTCAAAGGGATAATCTTCCTGCTTTCATGGGGGCCGCAGCAGCAGTGAACATTGCTTGCTTTAACTTTCCCGCTTACACTCCTGTTTTCACTGCTTCCAAGTAGATAACGCATTTCTTTTTATCACTTTTATTTCCCAGAATGATAATTTAAAGGTCTTGAAGACCAAAGTCAGGCTCTGATGCTGGGTTATCGTCCTCATCGTCAAGAAGATCGTTGGCGTCGTCCTCCGGAGCAGCGAGGTCACTCGGTGTGGACGTATCCCTTGGAGGTGTCAGTCGGTGGGGAGCTGGCGGTAAACAGAGAGAGATGTTCGTTTGTGAATGAAAGTTAGCAGATATCCCTTTGCTGTGCCGTCAGGTGGGATTGAGGTTGGAAAACTTTCAGATCTGCGTTTTCCTCGCTAGTGACTGCATTTTTTTATCCACCTCTGTGTGCGTAAGAATCCTTGAGTGCCAGTGAAAATAACTCGGCCTTAAAAGGACCTGATTGCAGTGGGAAACAATCAGGCGTAGATTGTAATCTCTTCCTGGATCTGTTCTCAGGGGTGAGCAGAGTTTCAGGAACTTAACAGTCCGAAGAAAAGACTGTTAGCTTCAGAGCTGCAGGAAAACAGCGGGACCACTGATGTCCATCTGCTGCTGTACGTCATTTAGTTTGGATTGTTCCACTCTAAACAAACGCAACATAAAAACATCTTTCAAGCTGTGCAGTTTATTTTTATAATTATTTTAGTAGCAGACTGATCGATTTCTTTGTTTAAATCTGAGGTGAGAAAACAGAAAACCAAAGCATGAGAATAACTTCCTGTGGTTTCCTGACATTAACAATACGACCAGCATATTGAGATGTTAAAAAAATAAAACGGTCTATTACTGAAGATGAAAGTGAAACCTGACAAACAATGCTGCCTGCTCCTCTGGGCGAGTCAGAGCTGATGGATCAATTGGGAAGGTAAGGGCCAGGTGGTGCGGGGGCGGAGCTACATGTCCAGTCTTGCTGAAAAGTCATCATCCGACTGAGCTGCTCTGCACAATCTTCTCCTGTTTCTGTCTCATTCTGAAAACCTGTTTATTAGCAGGAACAGGAAGACGCCTAAACTGTCTGGCTCAGCCGGGGAAACCTGGGCTCTCCTGCGTTTCGATATTTGAGTTTTAACCGACATAAAGAAGTGCATAACAAGGAGGTGGAAAGACTGCAGACGTTTAGCATCTAAAAATACCTACATGAATTCAAGTCTGAAAGAAAATCCAACAAAATGAATCACTTCTAGTATTCAACCACCCAGAAAACAGTTATTCTGGGTTTAGTTTAGAGTTGATAAAAATCCTGCAGTTGTATTAAAAAAGAATCATTAGAGAAAAGAAGAGAAAAAAGTGGGATGTTTAGAGAGACATCTGGAATAATTAAGCAGCGTTTCTATAGGTTTATGAAGCTTGAACTGAAACATCTGTAAGATAATAATTAGATTTAAGGCTTACTGTGTATGCGTCTCATTAAAACGTAAAACTCCTGATGCTCAATACTTTGGTTATGTGAGTTAAATTGTTATAATGTGGTTAAGTGTTTCTTTGTTCTGGTATGCAAAGAGAATAAACTGACTTAAATGCATCTTGGCTGGAGGTTTCTTCCTGTTAAAAGGGAGTTTTTCCTCTCCACTGTCGCTACAAGCATGCTTAGTGTGAGGGATTGCTGAAGAGTCAATGAGTCGATGCAATCAGCTGGTTTTCCTTAGATATAAAACTTTGAATCAATCTGACTGGATGATCTGGTTGAACTGTAAAGAGACCTGAGATGACATGATGTGAATTGGAGCTATAGAAATAAACTGAATAGAATTGAATGTTATGGACCTGTAGATGTGTCGCTCTGTCAACATGTCTTTGTCATTCAGACTGTGTAGAACTTTAGATCCTGAGGAATTCATTCGGTCCTTTGACTGAGGCGCCGTTTTGACATTTAGGAATTTTCAAGTCACCTTACCCACCTGCATACTTCCTGGAAAGTAGCCAATCACAGGCGGGTTGCTTTGTGTGGCGGTTAACGCCGTCAGAGTGACAAACGTTGACATGAGCGAGCAGAAACAGATCCACAAGCAAAGAGGAGAAGGGAGGCTGCGAACGCGTGGAAATCAAAACATTCGTGTGTGTGTGAGATATTGGGGCCCTGAGGTTCTCTATTTGCACACGTAACATGTTAAACAAGAGCGTGAGGAGCAGCTTATAGGCGTCCGTATGAAGTAACGCTGCTCGAAGGAGTATTTATTGTGTGTTTGGACTTTTGGTAGAAAACTGATGCCATACTTTTGCCCCTAGATGTAAAACATTCTAGGGAAAAAAAGAGACTAAAATGTCCGCTGAACAGTAAAAAAAATAAAATGGTGGCAGTATCATAATGTGGGTATTCATTTCTCCAGCAGCTTATTAGCTGATGGGTGAATGTGAATGCAGAGAATTAGTCGATTGTTTTTGTGTTTCAATAAAATACAGTGGAGTAAAGAAAATCTAATAGCTTCCAGCAGAGTGAACTCTGTAGTTTTGTTCATTCCTACCCGGGTCCTCCTCCTCCAGCCAGGACAGATCATCAGAGCTGATCTCTGCCAGACTCAGCGTTGGGCTGGAACTCTCAGAGTCCGAATCTTCCTCATGGCCTCTAAACTGTCTGCTCCTGCTGGAAGGAGCCAGGAATGGCGAGTCCTCTGAAAACCAATGAGAAATGCTCTTACAGCTTCCTCCTGCTGAGGGAAGGAGAACCAGAGAAGAGAAGTGTACCTAATGTCAGCTCTGATACCAAAAGCTGCGATCCGTGTCCTCTGGGATTCAGACTCTTCACCTCCTTCTGCAGGTCTGACAAGGTTGTTCTGTGGCGAGGGATACGGTGCAGCCCATGACACAAAATAAAAAGATGTAACATGTACAAACAAAGCAAAAAGATAATCAGCAGAGATTGTTTCCATTTTTATCTTAATTTCAGTGCCTTTTTTGACAATTGCACATCAATTGCACTTAAAGCAGGTCTCATACCTCATCTGATAGAATTTGGTTGGAATGCCATGCAAGTTGCGGAGAGTCTTCAACTGATATCTGCTGTGTCTTCTAAAGCTTCCTGTCAGATCCTCCAACATCTGTCAACAACAACAACAACAAAACAAACAGCAGAGGATTAGAGGCAATGCAACAAAAGGCCTGAAGCAGACAGGGAGGTGAGTGTTTACCTGACAGCTGTGTTCACATTGTCTTTTCATCTTCTCTGCCTCCATCTGCTGGAGGCGCATGTCCGCCTCTGTTCCCCCTTGAAACAGAGAGGAGAGATGTGAGCGGTGGTTTCCTGTCTGAATGTACGGAAGCAGAGCGCTGCTGGAACTAGAAACTCACTCAGCTGCGTTTTCAGCCTGTCCAGATCTATCCGCAGGAAATCCACCTCATCACGCTGGAGCCTGGAGCTCCAACTAAGGGATCAGAAAACATGTTGCATCACTGGCAGGACAAGGATGAACACATTATCTGATGATACAGCAGCTCTATGGAGCAGATTTTTATCACTTTATTGCTAAATGCAAAGAACATTTTTTTGGAAATGGAAATTTTAAAAAGAAAAAATAAAACCAAGAAATTACTTTCAAAAACTTCTGTATCAAAAAAGATTTTCATTTTTCAAATGTTATTTTTTTTATTTTATCAAATTTCTTATTTATATAATTTAAGTTTTATGGATTGCATTCTTTTCTAATTGGGTTTTGCAGATCAGATTCTCTTTACTTCATCTTGAGTGAGGAGCAAAGAAACATTCCTATTGGTCTGCATGGAGCTTAGCAGCAATATGTTTATTGGTCAATGGGTTCCTATTGGGCTTGAAATAAAGAGAATAATGTGTAGAACAGAATTTGAAAAGACTGCAATTTGTCCACAACAACAACTTGACAAATCTATTAAAGATTTACAATAAAAATTAAGATTGAAAATTTTAAATCCGAACAGAATTTTATATACCGGTATATATAGTACTATGAGAAAACAGCAAAGTTACTCTCAAAACCTCTCCTTTCCCTGTTCATTTGTTTATTGAAAAGGATTAAAACACAGTCTGCTTCACCCACAAAATGAGCTATACTCTTGGTTTAACATTAATAATAAAAAAAGGTCTTTAAACAAAAACAAAAGCTGGAGAAACATAGAAACAGAAACAAACATATATATTACGGTATATTATATATATTTTTAAGTGAAACATGATGGCTTTACCAGGGAATCTTTTTAAAGATCTCTCTGGGTTCTGAAAATAGGGAAGTCATATTTAAAAGTCGAATCATTCTGGCTTAAACATGTATATAAATGTAATCTTTATCTCTTTATTGAAATCAGAATCCTTTCCTTTCCCATTGAGTTGCGTCCCAGTGTTCACGGGGATGGACGTCTGTGTCTTCGGCAGGCGTAACGCTAACAGAACTGGTAGCGTTGCGAGGCAAGGGCTCAAACATGTACGGCTGGAAGCCTTCTACACCAAACCAAGCTTCTGCCGCCCTGGCGTCCTCTTCCACAATAACTTCGTCCCCGCTTTCCTCCTCTAAATAAAAAATGGATGACGGAGGAGACTCATCCACGACCTCCGACACTAAACTCTCCTCCTCTTGCATGTTTCCGCTGTCCATAGCGTTCCTTGACAGCATTGTTTCTTTTTTTTTATATTAATATATGTTTAAGTTTTCAAAGTGCAACATACAAAAATCACACATGCGAGTATAAAGCATACATATCTATCTATGAAGGCAGGGGTGGCATGCTAAGAAACTGGGCGGCTGTCGGGGTCAGTCTTAGACTGAGAAATATGGTCCAGAATTGGCTGCCAGATACTACAGGAGCCCTTAACATCGTACCGCAGTTTTTCCAAATGAAGAATCTCAGTAAAATCGCTTATCCACATTTTAAACCGAGGAACCTTGTCAGTTTTCCACAATCTTCATATTACTTTCTTAGCTATTTTCATTCCATAAAACACAATCGTTTGTATAGAAATGCTGCAGTTCCTCAGTGAGGGAGAGTATCCATACAATATAATTTGGGGGTCGGAATCAAGGTACATTTATACACTTCAGAGAACCGTTTGAAAATGTTGCACCAAAAATGAAAGAGCTTGGAGCACGACCAGAACAGATGAGTCAACGAGCCATCGGCGGATTTACATCCATCACATTTTGGGGATATTAATGGGAATATTTTGTGCAATTTTGTTTTTGAATAGTGGAGCCTGTGAAACACCTTGAACTGAATTAACTGGTGCTTTACATTAATAGAGCATGATCCAATCCTCCCAGACCTCACTCAGAATCTGCAAGCCCAGCTCCTCCTCCCATGCAGCCTTCAGAGAGTCTGTGGCAGAATTGATTCCCTCTGCAAAGATGCCGACAAAGCTTGATTTTTTTTTTTTTTCTTTATTCTGGGGAGCCCAACAGCATTCTGCCTAACTTATTTTCTTCTGGGAGAGATACGAAGTTCGGGTTGTTAATTTGAACATAATTTCTTATTTACAGATACCTGAAAACATTTGTGTCCAGAAGAGAGAAGCGGTCCCTCAGCCTTACAAATGAAGCCGATGTACAAATCTTTGATTGTAGTTAGGCCTTTTAGCCTCCAATTTTTAAATGATATATCTGATAGTGATGGGGGGAAAGTATGGTTGTGGTAAATTGGCGCATGAACTGAGGTATCTGGTATGTCACAGTAGACCTTCATTTGGTTCCATATCTTTAAACAGTTTAAAACAATCAAATTATTGACTCCAGTACTTCTGGGGGAAATTGGTGCTGAGAAAAGGAGTATCTGAAGGGAACCGTTTCCAACAGTGCTTCTTTCGATAGCCACCCAAGGAGGTGGATTTGCAGAGAGTTGTTGAGCATCACCCTCCTGCCAGTAGACCAAGGCCTTGCATTCGCTGCACAATAGTAATGTTGAAAGCATGGTAATCCTAATCCCCCCTTGTCTCTTTGTTTATGTAAATTTGCTTTTGATATGCTATGGGTTTTAAAATCCAAAATTATAGAGTCCAGTGATTTAAAAAAGGCCCTTGTTAAAAAAAAAATATGTAGGCTCTGAAAAAGGTACAAAAATTTAGGAAAAGACACAATTTTAATGGCGTTAATGCGGTCCATCACTGAGAGTGGGAGCGTTCTCCATTTCTCAACATCTTTCTGAAGATTGTCAACTTTTACTAAAACTTTCAGTTTGAAAATTTGTTTTGGGTCTTTTTGCAAAATAACTCCAAGATATTTCAGTTTGTCGGTTATCTTAAATAAAAGATTATCTAAGAATTCAGTAGGGAGGCTTGCACCCAGTGGCTTAAATTCAGACTTTTGCCAATTACTAGCATTACCTGAAGTGTCACCAGATGACTGAATAAGATCTAGAAGAATTGGTACCGACTGCTCAGGATGTGATTCAAAGACCAGAACATCATTGGCATACACTGTCGTTTCTAAATCAGCTATTTAGTGCTACTTGGTCCAAAGGCAGGCTGCTCAGTGACGCAGTGGGTAGCACTGCTGCCTTGCAGCAAAAGGGTTCCGGGTGACTGTTAGGTTCATTGGCTTCTCTAAATTCCCCTTAGGTGTGAGTGTGAATGAATGATTGTTTGTCTCTGTGTTTCCCTG